AAAGTAAAAAATTGGTAGTGTTTGATTTATAAGTGCTTTTTAAAGCCAAAAGTTGAGAAGTGCTTTTTTAAAGCTGTTGCAAATCAGCCCTAAGTCTAGTACCATTTGGATTTTTCTTTAAATGGTACAAGCAAGCCAGGAGATGCCACCAAGAGAGCTGAGAGCAACATGAAGCCATGCCTCAGTAAAAAACCTGCTCTTGGGAAATAATCAGTCTCAAGAGTAAGTTTTATTAATGAACACGTCTCGTTATTAATAACCACCCTTACTGAACTGGTTATACTCCTTGATTGAGTATTCGAGAGGTAGATAGTTAAAGATATAACCGGGATTGACGAACATTTCATTAAGTGGATAAAAACAAAACCATGTCCTCATCTTTTATTAATTAAAATCACATAAGTCGTTCATCTTAGTGTTAATTAAATTAAATCAAATCAAACTTAAAACCTCCTTGATACTGGTTACATAAAAAAAGTATTTCTTTCCATGTGAATACGAACCTTATTTCGTTATACTACGTATAATCGTTGTATTGATTTATTATTTTGACGCACACCACGATAAAGTCCTCGTCAATTTCTCTAGGTATGAATGAAATCACATGACTATTGATAAGCATGCTCTACAACATAATTTGTGGGTGTCAAAATAGTTATTTGTTGGAAATATGACAGATCAACCATATTTTCCAAAAATGACGGGTAAGTGCTAGCAACAACTGAAGATAAAGCTTAAGATTAAGATAAGATGTGCCAAAAAAAACCGTTAATGGTCAACTATTGCTTGTAGGCACCAAACCATATGATAAACTTTTACAATTTTCCTTTATTATTATTGTTGTTATTGTTGTTGTTGCTCTTGCATATTTATTTCAAAAAAGGCTTTATTTGTCATAGACATTATTAAAATTTCTTGTTATAATGTGCAGTTAAATACATATTCTTTAATAAATACGGAGTATGACTTAAAATATGTTTTTAATTGGAATCACTTTTTTTGTATGATGTTTTTTATTTGAGTGATATTTTTTCCGGCTTGATTTGGTCCGTTTAAATATGGTCTTGTCTAATATTTTCAAGTTTGGTTTGGTCTTGTTTTGATGTATTTAATTATTGTCAAATTTTGTTCTAATATGATTTATTCAAGTCTAACCTAGTCTATATGATATTTTTAAATTTTAAATTAAAAACATCCTTATCATTAATTAATTTCTTGTATGCAACTATTACAGTAATAATTGACTTGCATTAGTGTCCAATAAACTAACTATTTCATTAATTGTTGTTGTTAGTGTTGTTTTTTGTCATTATTATTAACAGTGTTGTTGTTGATGGTGGTGTCATCACCATCACCATTACTATTATTAATTATTACTATCTATAGTTTTATATAGTAAACTTGAGTTAAAAATCAATGATGTGTCAGCTTCTTATTGGACAATCCAAATTCTATTATCCCATTAAATAACATCAACTTCACGCCTAAATAATAGGGAACAGTAAAATTAGTTCACGTATCACATGCTATACATAACAAAAATGTCAAAAATGAGTAGGACTCTAATTTCAACATACAAAAATACTATAATACACGTAGGACTCTATTAAATATTGTAATATACATATGGCATTTTTCAAGACAACTCCATTTTGATTGAATATGATTATATGAAATACATCCCAACAGGTTAATTACACTTAACTTCATCCATGCAACAAAAACAAACAGGGGCGGATCTAACAAGGGAGGATGGGGGGCAGCTGCCCCCAATAAAAATCCCCTAGACCGTGGCTGCCCCCTATAACTGAGTTGTCCGACCCAGCCTAAAGCCCAAAAGTGGGTAAATCTGAAATTCCAGATTTCACAATCAACCAATCGGGACCAAACTCACTTGAGGTTCCAAAGTTTGGAATGAATTCGAGTATGGAAGACTGGGAGTAGCTGACCAATTGAACAGAGGCAATTATAAGTTTAATGGCCCAATGTTGGGAGTGACCGCTGCCTGTACGTAGCAAGTGCCCGTATGTAGTCCTCTCTATGTATGGGGAGTATTAATTTGTATACTCCATATAAGCTTTGTATGTGTTTTATAATGTTTTTTTATAAGATTATTGATGTACAACTATTTATTTAGCTTAATTTAATTGATGACTTATTGTAATGCGGAGTAGTATACATCTTGATCTACTCCCTCTGTATTTTAAAGTTTGGCATAATTTCCGTTTTTGGATGTATTTAAAAGTTTACTACACTTTCATTTTTTGGTAAGTTTGTTTTTTTAAATAGTCAATTATCCTTATTTTTTCTACTTTTATCTTCACTTTCATACGTAGTATTTTTCACCATCTCTCCTACTTTTTCTACACTACTCATTACTCCTACTATTTCATCCTTAAATAATGTGGCCAAACCTATTATAGTGAACTTTTAAATACAGATAGACTATTATAGTGATTCGCATTCTACTTCTACTTTTAAAAAATAAGCAGACACATAATCAATCCCAAACACTTCCTAAACTAATTAAAGTACGTGTAATGTTTTACATCTATTAAAAATCCAAAATGTAAATAGTATGTGAAATGCCGTATTAGGCATTAGATAGAAATAAAATGTATTAATGTTATAACTTTTTACTATCAAATTTAAAAATGTAATTTTAGATTGAAGTCTATTCTGGATACAATTTAAAAATGGAAATAAACGCGTAGAATTGTGATGTGTTTTACAAAAGCTTTTGTTATTCGCTACACAAAAATAACGAAATTGACATGAACTCGTCGAAATTCACAGTGGAATTGGCACAGAAACGCTCGTACGCCTAATACGTGTCAAAAACATTTTGTCATGAGCTATTTTTTTAGTACAAAATCATCCATCAATCCATGCCAAATTCATGTCAATCCCATAATTTTCCGTAGTGATTGTATGTAATAATAAAATATGGAGTAATATTTTATTAATTTTGTTCTTTTGATGTGTTACTTAACTATCCTGCCCCCAACAAGTTTTCTTTCTGGATCCGCCACTGAAAACAAATATGGAATAATTAAGTCACATACTATATAAATATGGGAGATTTCCCTAAATAAGACTAAATAAAAGGAAAATTTCAACATTAGGAATTTCAAGTTTAAATTCCCAAAATAGGACTAACTCTTTACATTCTACCCTTTCCCTTATCATTTCTAATAAGATTTTTTAAATAATAATAATAATAAAACATAAAAAAAAATAAAAATAAAAATAAAAAAATATATAGGCATCAACCACCACCTCATCGACCTTTCAGCGCCACCACCTTCGGACGCCGTAAAAGAATGCCAACTTGAAGAAGAAAATCATTGTGATGACATTTTTGAAAAGAAAGCTGAATATTTTTAAAGAGTAAAATTGACATCTTCAACACATTTTCAGAGGAATGTGGCATTTTTAACACAAGATGGTATTTTTAACACAAAATGACATTTTTTTCGATGACCGGAGCTGGTGGTGCTGGGAGGTGGATGATGCGGTGGTAGTGGCCAACATATTTTTAAATATTTTCTAGGTATTTTATTTTATTTTTTCGACTTTTTAAACGTTTTTAATTTTTCATTTTATTTTTTTAATTTTTATATGTTTTTTATGGAGTATTAATTTATAAATATTTTATTGTTTTTTTTATATTTTTATTATAAAAAAATTATAAATTGCTTATTAATAAAATAAATCTATTACAAATTATAGGAAGGGGTAGAATGGGAAGAAGGGACATACATTAGTCATATTTTTGGAATAAAAAGATTGTAGTCCTATTGTTGAATTTTGGGTTATATTTAATCCTATTTAGGGCTAATGCCCCTATAAGTATATTTAAATTCATAACTTTTTATGATCTTTCATATGCCATCAATATTATATATATATACATATAAATTATCTGTTATATTATATAGCAAAACTAAGTAAAAAATTTATTAAAAAAACTCTATTACCACTACTACTAAAATATTTAATTCATATAATTTGACTTGGCTCATCATTGTTATTCATCACTGCATGTATTATAACTTACTTATTTAATTTGTACTCCAAAATTTTCAAAAAATACATCAAAATTTATAACTTTTAATGATCTTTCATATGACACCAATATTATATATATGATTTTAAATGGCGCATTATGGGAAGTGCACAATTACAATATAGTCGTGACACATATAACGAATCCAATTTTCATTAAATATTTAAATATATTGTTTTACTCCCTCCGTCCCAAACTGAGTTGCAAAATTGACTTTTTAGTAACACTTGACATTATGTAGATTCCACACATTAAAACATTTAATTAGTTTGTAACGGGGATGGAACGGTTAATGGAAAAGTCTAGAGAAAAAGTAGGAGAAAAATGTTTAAAACATATCCTTAGAAGCTATCATGTTACTCTTATTCTTATATTGTTTACTACATACTACCTCCGTCCCAAAAAGAGTTGCAAATTTGACTTTTCTTAGTCAAACAGTTTCGTTTTGTTCACTTAATTAGAATGTCAATTATTAATTATATTCTAATTTGGAGTTTACAACTTTAAAGATATTTTAATGTAGTTTTTGAATATGTAAATTTTAATTATTAAAAATTGAATTAATTATCCATACGGATGGTTGACTTTTATTATTGGTTGACCAAAAATTGTTGATTTTGCAAAACAAATTGGGACTTTGCAAAACGAATACGATCCTATCTAAATGAGGAGTCCTGGACTGCAAGAGGAAGCATTAGACAATACATACCTAATAAAGAGTAATAAAGACCACTCATGATCTAATCTAAAGGGAAATTTTAGGATAGAGTCCTATATAATGGGATCATCCATTATAACTTCATTTTAGAAATGAGTGATTATAAGAAAAAACTTATATGCACATATGATTCCATAGTGAACCATATATGATCCCTTAACTTTTTATCTCATAAGGAGCTTTTCCTTTGATTTGAAATAGAAAAAATAATCGCACTCAGATCAATTAGCATGACAGAACATCTTAAGTACACAATGCAAAGAGACATCGGCATTCAAATGGGAATGTCAACAACTCCCCCACCCAAAAGACCACAACAACCATCAAATATATATCAACCAAACATACAACTCATTACCACAAATAGGAGGACTAATATAAGCATAGCATGTAAGATTTTTATTGCCTTCTTCTCATTCATCATTGCTCAGGCTCTTCTTCCTCTTCCTCCTCATACTCACCATCCTCGTCAGCAGTTGCATCCTGATACTGCTGATACTCCAAAACAAGATCATTCATATTGCTCTCAGCTTCGGTGAACTCCATCTCATCCATTCCTTCCCCCGTGTACCAATGCAAGAAAGCCTTCCTCCTGAACATGGCAGTGAACTGCTCACTCACTCTCCTGAACATTTCCTGAATGGAAGTCGAGTTTCCAATAAAGGTGGAAGCCATCGATAGTCCTCTTGGAGGGATGTCACACACGCTTGACTTCACATTGTTTGGAATCCATTCAACAAAGTAAGATGAATTCTTGTTCTGCACATTGATCATCTGTTCATCCACTTCTTTGGTGCTCATTTTTCCCCTAAACATTGTTGAGGCAGTGAGGTACCTGCCATGGCGTGGGTCTGCGGCACACATCATGTTCTTGGAATCCCACATTTGCTGAGTCAGCTCAGGAACTGTAAGGGCACGGTATTGCTGGGACCCGCGGGAGGTGAGAGGGGCGAATCCCACCATGAAGAAGTGAAGACGTGGGAAAGGGATTAGATTAACAGCAAGCTTTCTTAGGTCAGAGTTGAGTTGGCCAGGGAACCGAAGGCAACAGGTGACCCCACTCATTGTTGCAGATATCAGATGGTTCAAATCACCAACTGACAACACATAAAAAGAATAGAGCATGTTACTAATTGTTAAGTTCAGTTTGGAAACCAAAGATTTCTAATGAAATAAAATACTATAGATAAAATAAAAATATGGTTCAAGCTCAGTTGATCATATTAAGATATTTGTTTAAAAATATTTTATTTATTGGTTTCAAATGTACAGACAAAAAAAACATCTAATTGTGAAATTAAAGAAAAAACAAAACTGAAGATATGGACTAGTATCAAAGTTTAAATAGTATTCCGAGTATACTCACAGCTGGGAGTGGTGAGCTTTAGAGTCCTAAAACATATGTCATACAAAGCCTCATTGTCAAGCACCATACATTCATCAGCATTCTCTACGAGCTGATGAACTGAGAGTGTTGCATTATATGGTTCAACCACTGTGTCTGAAACCTTGGGTGATGGGAACACAGAGAATGTGAGCATCATCCTGTCAGGGTATTCCTCCCGGATCTTTGAGATCAAAAGAGTTCCCATACCAGAACCAGTTCCGCCACCAAGAGAGTGACAAACCTGGAAACCTGCAAAGTGTGAAAAAGCGATTTGATTAATTTGTAAAATGGGAAACAGAACATGAGCTTGCATTATAAGACAATGTTTGACTAATGGTCTCTTTGTATCTATACACAGAATATTGATGTAGTATTAATTAACAGAATGTTTTTAAAGAATAAATAGATTAAAGTGTTGTGCAAATATTCAATGACACGTTATGTGGATAGATAATTCAATATCTATAAATCTCAAATATATTTCAAGATGTAGTTCATTGAAGGTGAAAAAGCGATTTACACATGTCAAGTAGCAAAAGAAAGTAGAGTGTCTCCAATCTCACAATTCAGAATATTGGAAACCAGATTTCCTATACACGTGTACAGAAGAATACAAAAAAAATGTCTATTCTCAAATCCAAAACATTTCATCTTAGGAAAAACATGAAGCTATCAAAACACACAGATCTGTACACAAATCTACAATAACAAAGCATATTGAACTATAACAAAGGCTCAGGTGATCAAGATTGCAGTTGAAATTTTAATTTCAGCACACAAACAAACGTATTGGTCCAACTAACTACCTAAGATACAAACGCATCAACACATGAACACCTAACCTGCAACCAGACGCCTAAAATAACCAAATACATCCACAAAATAACAAAAAATTAAGGGAGACAACTTCGGATCTCGAGACAGGGGATATACCATACCTAACATCATGAGATACTATATCAAACAATTAAAAACGACCAAACTAGAAAATCCACACGTCAAATCGGCCGGATCTTTTATTTCCATTACGAATTGAGAAAAACTCCGTTACCGATCGCGCGCAAATAAAAGCACAATTACACAAACACTTGAAACGCAGGGGAAAAAGTATACAGATCTGCGAGTAAAGAGAAGTTACCTTAGATGAATGTGAAGTAAGCAGACAGATCTAAAAATTGATCGAGAGAGATATCTCCCTCAAACAGAAATTGTAGAAGTACAGCGTAGTGATTGAAATGCAGGGGTGGAGTGTTATGAGAGTGAGATCATAGTGAGTGGATCTTATACGATAAAGTTGAAGATCTATCGGCTGGAATTATTTCCCTCCTATTTTGTTATCTGCCGTTAAAATGTTGAATGCCGTTAGATTTCTGGAGCGGGTGGCTGAGATGGGCTATGGAAGGAAGTTCTTATTTTTAAATTCAAAAATGAGAAATTATTGGGGTGACCTTTACGTTTTGTGTGTTTTCCCATATATAAACCCAATTGTTCAAAGTTTCAAATACATTTGTGTTATTGTTAAAAACTTAAAATATCCCTAAAGGCTCATATTTTATGTCAATCATTATTGTGAGTTAGGATTTAAAATGTTTTAATTGGATTGAAATTTTTGGATCTGCTCCGTTTGAGTATGATGTGATCTAGTTGATGTTTGATGTACACATATTTTTTAACCTTTGAAATCTGATCTGATTTGTGTACGTCTAAATTGATTTAATCTGATCTAACATATTTAAGTGTAATCTGATCTTATACTGAAACTAGACCATATAAATGTGTTATAATACCAAATATTATAGGTCTTCCTTATCGTGAAAAACTCATTTGATTTATTTCAATCATAAATTAAATTAGATCATAACCCATTTAAGGATTAAATTAGATTATATTTATAGGTATTACAATGTTATCTTTGGTATCATAATCTTTTGTTGTGGTCTAAACTGGTCAGCTCTTATCTTATCTACGTAGCATTTATATTCGCTCTGATTTAGTTTATTGTGAACTGGTTTGATCTGATTTGATAATTTGTGCTCCAATTTATTTAAATATCATCAATCCAAGTGAAGTATGTATGATAGTTAGACACATCACGCACTACTTGGCAAAGCACGCAATAGTCATTCCGGGCCAATTAAACTCAAGCTTTGATTTTAGAGTCAAACTTTATTAACTTTGATTTCAAAATTTACGTTATGAGATTGTTTAAACAGTAAATATATTACACAAATCTTTAATTAGCTTTATTAACTTTGATCTTTAAAAAATTGACACTCTAATTAATTTACACAGTTTATAGTTTATACTCTGTAGTTATTATTACGGAGTATTATTATTATTATTATTATTATTATCTCTTATTTACACAAATCTTAATTGTATCATTTTTGTTTAATTATTTTTCATAGATCGAGAGAGTTTTGCTAAGGAAGACGGTGACATGCTGCAAAATTGCAAATGTACGTACGTGAGGGTGAAGCATGTAAAATTTCGTAGGGAATGGGCGAGTTAGCTTTATGTTACAAGCATAATTGGTGGATACTCCTTCCTGCCTGACAGGCCACATGATCGAGAATGAGATAAGGCTGTTTTTGCATGTGGCCACTTTGGCAATGGGATAAGCGTCAGTTTGGTCCTCGAAGTTGCAAAAAAGGGGTCAAATAAGTCCTTATATAGAAGATTCTGTCCGGACGTGCCATTTGAGGTGGCTCCCGGTGGAATTTTTTGATGAAATTTTTTGAACATCTTATTCATTAAGTCTAGTTTACTCATACCAAATTTCAGATAAAAAATCAACGGGGAAGACATTCAAATGAATTCTTGAAGATAAATGTGCCGTCAAAAGCGCTGTTATCTTTAAGAATTCATTTGAATGTCTTCTCGATTGAATTTTTAGCTGAAATTTGATATGAGTAAACTAGACTTAATGAATAAGATGCTCAAAAATATTTATCACAAAATTCCACCGGGAGCCACCTCAAATGGCACGTCCGGACAGAATCTTCTATATAAGGACTTATTTGACGCCTTTTTTGCAACTTCGAGGACCAAATTGACCCTTTACTCCTTTGGCAATGGACCAACTCATTTAGAATTGCATTACAAGTAAATTTATTAAATGTCCGTTTGTTAGTTATGATTTTATGCTTACAAGCTTATAAGCCAACTTTTTAATCAAACACGTAACTTTTGATTTTGCGGGCTGAATTGTGTAATAATATGAAAAAGTAAGGTTGAAGTTACTAGACCTGGGACCAGTTCGGTTCTTACTCAAAACTGGTGGAACCGTTATTAAAATTAACTAATGAAATCGGTTCGGTTCCTATATAAAAAATTAAGAACCGTTATGGAACCGAACCTATACTAAACGGTTAGGTTCTTGCTTTTATCGGTTCATAGAATAATTTTTTTAATCTGAGAATTAACACATAGTTTAGCTTCTACCACATAAAAACGTCAAAAAACTAAAACAAGTAGTAAAAATTTATTTAGAGTTCTAATCGTTCCAAACATCAAAGCTCAAACTTAAGTAAGTTAATACTTAATAAAATAAAAACAAGATTTTAATTTTTATGTAATACATAAAATATAAAACTCGTTGGTTATGCCGTAGAAATGAAGGTTGTTCATCATTAGTGGCAATAATAGGATGCACACTTTAGGAGTTTAGGTCTCTCAAAACCTAGATATACATTGAATTTGCATGTACATATATATATATATATATAAAAGCATCACTGCATTCTACTCGCTAGTAGCATAATTTATAATACATCTAATAATTTGAAATACCATGAAGATATTAAGGTAAAATGTATGCAACTACAAGTTATTTGAGTTATTTAATATTTATAAAATTTTTGTGATGGAAGAAAACTTGATTTGTAAAAATGAGCATAATGTATTTAACCTCATGTGCAAATATTTATTATTCTATTTTCGTTGATTAAATTAAATTAAAATTGTTGGCTATATATCAATCATTTATTGTTATTGTTGTTGTGGTGGTTATTATTGTTATTTTTAATATTATTGTTATAATAGTATTATTACTAATACTACTACTATTATTTTTATTTTTTATTTTTTTAATATCGGTTCCTTAATGGTTCCGTGCATATATTTTTTATAGGAACCAGGAATCGAACCGTTAACAACAACTAGGAACCGAACCGTTAACAACTAATACCTCATTTGTTGGAACCGAACCGAACCGGGTTATAACGGTTCAGTTCCAACCGGTTCTACGGTTCCCGGTTAAAAAATCCCACCCCTAGAAGTTACTTTTCTGGCTGTATTGGCTGAAGTTACTGTAGAGGGTCATTTTAGCTATTTTCATATAATTTTTTCTTTATTTTATTTATAAAATGTATTTTAAATTATTATTTTTCACAAATCGACAGAATCAGCCAATACAACCACATCAGCTAGAACTTCATAAATTTCAGCAGAATCAGCGAATAAAACCGATTTGGCTATTACCAAACATGCTCTAAAACTACAAATATATTATGAGTCACGTCGATAACATTGAAATACATACACACACATTTTTATATATTATTAAATTAATTTATATTATCATATGAGTGTCATTATTTAGTACGGAGTAACATTGAAATTGACTTAATTGCTTCAAATTGCTAAAATAGATGAAATTTTGATTGAAGCGACTCAACTAACTAAATTGGATGAATTGATTGAAACCGATAATAAGTTCGTTTTGGAAAATTAATATTTAACATAAGAATTATATATTATTCAAAAATAAAAAGAATACACAATAATAGTGAAGGTTGTCATTTACAATAATTTCAATGAATTTGGTAAGAAAAGTAATTGCATCCGTATTTATTTTGATTATTATATAATTGAATATGATGGATAAAGAATTTTATACTTGAAATAAAAGTTGACTTATAAAAACGATAAACCCAAAATATGAATTATGGGACGAATCTATAGTTATAACTGCACTTGTATGTAAGGATTATTAATAATCCTTTGGCCCACCACAGCCACTTCTACAAAGTGTTTATAATGGCTACGGAGTAATACTTTTGAGGTGAGTCTAATGGAGGTTAGTCTAGAGATAGGGACACGGAAGGAAATTGGGCATGTGGTAGAGCAAAAAAGCCACCGCGTGGCAGATCGAGAAGATAGCAATGGACGTCTGCGGCGGCGCTGGAGCGCATCTGAGCCGTGCTCATAACCGGCATTTCATCCGCCGACATGGTTAACATGGCGGTGGCGGCGATCGTATCGGTGGCAGCGGCGGATGTGATTGGAGAAGCCATCGAAAAAAATTACTGGCTAAAAATCTAGAGCTCTAATACCATGTCAGTAAGATTTAGCAATGTGATAGTCTTGATGTTATATATATAATAAAATATGTCCTGAGTAGAAACCTAATAAATATGGAAACCTAATTAATCCTATTAATTACACTATTAGGATGAAGTCTGATTTTTGTTTTTGTCATGTTTTTTATTTTTGTTATCTTCTTTGACATTATGGTGAGTTATACGGAGTAATTTGGATTGGCGGCCTTCTAGTGCTAGGAGGTAATTAGTGTATTAAAAGGCAGTGCATCAACGTGTTCATTATAAGCTTCAAGTTAACTAGTTATTGAACTTTTTCTAGTGTAAATACCGGTACCGGATTCATAAATGTTCTTTTATGTTAGATTAGTCAAATATGTTATCTTCCTTGAAAGGGTCAGAATTGTCCATTGTGAGTTTCGGTACTACCAAATGCGCACTTGGATTCATTTATCCCTTCTGAATAATTGAACATTGAGAGATATGAGCATTTAGAGGAGAATGTATTAGGGACGGACATGGAGTATATTTGCCCATTATTCGTTTACATTTTGAAAATTGACTGAATTGGAGGAGAATGTATTAGGGACGGACATGGAGTATATTTGCCCTTTATTCGTTTACATTTTGAAAATTGACTGAATTGGAGGAGAACGTATTAGGGACGGACATGGAGTATATTTGCCCTTTATTCGTTTACATTTTGAAAATTGACTGAATTGAAGAACCTTTAAGGTGTGTTTGGGAAATTGGAGAGGAAAGAGAAGGGAGGGTGATGAAGTCCTTTGTATGTGAGAGTAATAAATTTGGAAGAAAAGAGTTTTTGAATGAATTATAATTAAAATCAGTTTAAAAAATGACGAATTCAAATAATTGAACTCACATTTATATTTAAATGAGCTTAAATTATCATTTCATTAATTATTCTTCAAACCCCTCCAAATTGAAGGAAACTAAAAAATTGAACATTTGTAGGGTTTTGGAGGGTTAAAAAGTCCTCAAAAATCATCCCCTCTAATTTTATACTCTCAAAAATGAAAAGGAGGATCATAAACTCCATCATCAACC